CAGAAATGTACCTTCCATACATGTCAAGGACCAAGAGAAGGGAACGGAAGGGGAAGAGAATAAGACGAATGTCCACACTGGGTACTGTGCTCTGCTCAGTGCTTTCACCCAGTGATAACTCATTTATAGAGTGCAACACAGTTTCATTCACTGGTTTTATATGCATTAGGTCTCAAGAACCCCCTGCCTTATAGGACAAGTATATAGTATAGCAGTTTTTATTTTGTTTTTGTAATTTTATAAAAGAATACAAGTGACATTATTTTATTTGGAACCTAAGAATTTCTAGTTCCATAACTAGATATTGACACTTGACTCTTCTAATATAGTAAAAGGCTCTTCACCTTTAGACTGTCCAACTCTGAACTTGCTTTGAATCTCAAGGTTTTCTATCCACAGAATAATCGAGGTTCTTTTAGGTGTTTTTTGATAGAGTCGGTTTATTAGCCTGAACTTTGTGATCTCCAAAATGTGACTGCTTGAATACAGGCCTCTCCCAACAACCTGGGGCAAAAAATCAATAATAACACTGCTAGATCTATAAAGGTAGTTTTGCTGGGACCAGCAGATGGCGGAATGGCTATGTCACTGGACTCCCATGTCGTCTATGTCAGTTTGAGTCAGGGACCCCATGGCTTAAACTTCCGTTGGGCGCGTGTGTGCATACCCAAGATCCCAAGAGGAAAGTAGAGGAGAAGGGACTGCAGCATGGCCGTCCTCCCTGGGGGATGATTTCTTGCTTTCTGTCTCTCTCTCTCTTTCTGCTCAGCACAAGTGCCCTATAGCAAAATCCTCTCAAAAATAATAATAAAATAAAAAATGTTAGTGTTTATTTCTCAAAATAATTTTTCATTATATTGATAATATACTTAAGTTATTTTATTATATTATTCATATAATAATATGTTAGTTATTATAACATGTTAATATAAAAGTTATTGCAATGTAGTAATAGTATGCCAATATCATCATTATAATAACCAATATGTTATTAATAAATAATGATATACTAATAACTCAATATATTTTATGTTATTAGTTATCCATTTTTATAATAAGATTATTTTATTATGTTATTACTATAATACTACTGATATTAGTCCCTTCTGCCCCAGAGGTGGGCTGAGCAAGCATTTTTAATCTCTTTTAGGTGAGGAAAAACGAGATCAGAGGTTTTGAGTTTTGCAGGCTAGCGTCCAGGTCTTCCATCCCCAACTTTGGGTTCTCCAGGAGCCCACGTTCCTCCTTTGTCATGATCTTGCCTCCTCCTCTGATCCTTACCACCACCAAAAATACTTTTAACTCTTCTGGAGAAGGAACCCAGCTATACAATGGTGCCCCTGACCTTCAGGCAGTCAGAAACTTTGGGTGGCTCCTCATGTGCAACAGGAAATACTGCAAATGAAATAACAGCAAAACAGGCATTTGAGAAAAGTTGCTTATTTTGTCCTTCTAGGACCTCGAGCAATATTTTTCCAGAATTTCCATAGATGTATTGAACATGCCACATACACATTCAACCTGGCAAGTTAAAAATCTCTTATCCCGTACTCTGCCCAAATTTTAGTAAAGAAACTGATCCCTGCCCAAGTATAAGGAAAGAACCAGAGTTGACGTAGTGTTCTGTCTGTGGAGAGCCTTCTGTTATGGAGGCTGGGATGTAAGGAGTCAAGGCCAAGGGAAGGAACCGGTGAGCAGGAGGAGAGGGGCATGTCGGAATGAGGGCCTGTCAGCAGTGGGAGCAGGGCCGCTGCTTTAGCAAGTCTGCTCTTGCTCCCCTCGGAGGACTGTCTTGTGCTGTGGTCATCTATGAGGGTAGCAAGGACACAAGTACACTGAAAAGGTGGGGAGGGGAAGCCTGGTGCTCCCTCCGCGTGAGGGAAGGTGGTCTGGGGTGTGTTAACTGAGAGGGCCCTGCAGATCTAGAGAGGCTGGCTGAGTAGGGACTTGGACTTTCAGTCATGGCCTTTTACTGGCCAGCACGGAGCAATTGGCCATTGAGAACCCATGAAATAATCCTACACAGAGTTTCTACATTTTACACTATGGAATGTTCTGAGTAGGTAGCCGCTTTGACTAAATATTTTTCTCCTATTGTCGTCATTACATAGGACTAGGTTTGGGTTTGTTTTTTCCCTGTCTAACCAGCACTGAAATGTTTCTGATTCTTAAGTCATTTGACTGCAATGTACGGCGGGGAATGACAAAGACCTGTCTCATCCGTCTTCCACTATCAAAAGCAATCTCTTCTTTTTTGACAGTTGAGGAAACTTCTGTAGGGAATGCAGATGGGACGTTCATGAAGGTATTACAGGCCCGGAAGAAGAAAACCAGAACAGAGCTAATCATCGAGCCCGAGAAAGCCTCCTCAGACAAAAGTGGCGTCAACCTCTCAGGCTTCATGAATGAGCCGCAAGACTTTAATGATGAAAGCGATGTGATTAGTGCACTAAATTATATATTGCCTTGTTTTTCAGAAGGAAATCTAGAAAATGTAGAATCAACACTATTACCACTCATTAAACTGCTTTTTTCAAATACACAAGATAGAGACAAGCCCTGGGGTTATTTGAAAAACAATATAAGGAGCCCCCCTCTTAAACCTGAATCCAATGATCTGACCTATGAAAATAAATTAAGGAAGCTCTATTTTCTAGAAAATTTATTAGATGCAGAAATTCAAGAAAAAATTGATGAGGTCAAAAAGAAAGAAAAAATTGCCATGCTTATGCAGTCTAGACTGTTAGGCCCCAAATTTAAACGCCAAATCTTTCCAAAGAAATCAGAGCTTGCTCAGCCACAGGCGAAC